CGCCCCATCCTCTGCGCACAAGGGAAATTCGCCGTGATTCATTTAAGCCTGCTCGTCCTTTATCACACTTCCGGCGTCAAGGGCTTCCTCGTAACGAAGGGCGCGCGACTGTTGTGGTTGTGTGTTCGCATCGCGTGACGTGGCGCTGTTCACCTGCAAGTTGCAACGTGGAAGACGAAGTAGACCATTATTCATATCACTGTTACCTCGCAATACCAGAACAAAGTAACAGGTCTAGTAGGTGCTCAAAGTATCATTAGCAACTACGATTGACATTTCATCAGCGGATTGCGTAGTAGCAAAGGTGAAGATATGGCAAAGAAGTAAAATTTTAATCGCGAAACGCGACGTCATTAACTCAAGTGACAAGTAGAAAATATGAAATAGAATGCAGTTTCGTTAACCTACTTATTATGCAAAATTTTAACAAACATTAAATTAATTATAAGAAATTCACATGGGCTGTCGCATCTAGTAGAGTCAAAACAACTCATGAATGCGTACTCGCTTAATATTGTGTTACCTCAGTGCCACGTTATTATCTTATTAATTTCTTTCTGTTTGGACAACAAACAATAAAGAATGTTTTCTGATACATTTCTGTTGTTTTATTTATCTCTGAAAATATTTCTTATATTTCTCACGTTTCTCTTTTTTTGTTATTTGATTCTCTTTTGAAGTATGCTTATGAATACAACCTCTGAAATATTGAAATATTCACTACGGAACATAAATCTGAAAAGTAAAGTTTTTCGTGACCATTTTCCTTTGTTCCCGTCACTATTAAAATGTACGCGACGCCAACTCATTTCTGTTTTTTTCTTGAATATACCAGTGGTAGGGAAAACTATTTTCTAAGTCATATTGCTCTTCATAAATTCCCAGATCGTGAGAGACTATCATCATGAAATATTCAAGACAAACGAATTTCATTACTGTAGAATTGTATTTTTCCAAATACAGGTCCATTTTTAAGGTTGGAGAATACAAATGTGTATTTTTTGTAGAATTTGTACCCTCTTTGGTTTTAATTTATAATTTTGTTTTATTTTCAATTTTTATTCAACGCTGAAAGAAAGAACAGCAAATCAGCTGTTCAGAGGTCAAAGATGGCAGAAACGTTTATTCTCTGACTCGTTCGTTAGCGTGCTCGCTTTCCACGGCGCAACCCCGGGTTCGATTCTCATCCGGCGTAAAATAATAGCTGTGCGCTTTCCTTTCAAATGTCCCAGTATCTACTGCTATATGACGATAAGAAAGCACATGCCAAGGTTATGAAGACCAGAATATACGGTGGAGGGATGTCTTCGTCCTAACCACACGAACCTCTTATCCCATGGCCGAGAGGCTGGGTCACCGCCGGTCGGCCAAGGCCCTTAGCCGGCCCTTAGCCCTTATTCCAACTTGTATGTCCATTTTATTCACCCCGAAACTTTCTAAACAGATGAAAATTCAGTGCGTATATCGCAAACAGATGCAAAGGGATGGCCTTATTCTCGAGCCTGTGAGCTGCTATTCGTAAGCCTGCTTGAAAATTTAATTCAATAATAAATTTCACAATCCAGCCTAACGTAGTTCACAAGTGATTATAAATATAAAACTATAGAAAAATGTAGACCCTAGGGAGGATACCTCACCTCGCGTTTAAGATTCAAGAGAAATAGCCAGTGTATTCCTTAAAATAGTTGCATTTGGATGGCAAACTACTTTGAAGGACGCAGCCAGAAAGCGAAATTGCGAAATCAAGAACATGTCACGATTTCGTTTCCCGTTTTCCACACGTGTGACGAAGTGCAAGTCACATGATTGACTCCTACTTCAATTGGATGTTGAATTATTAAAAATGTCGGTTGGGTTTCCGAATGACGATCCATTTCAGATCATTCCTCTATTAGGCCAACAGAATTATCCAATTTTCATACCATATTAACGATATTGATTTAAAAATAAACGTTTTGTGGTAAATTGTGTTTTGAACTCACTGTAGTAAATTTTTCATAAGTCTAAAAACACTTTGTACTGCACCCGCCAGCCAGCAAGCCAGCCAGCCAGCTAGACGTTTTGCCTCAATCGATTTTTCTGTATCAAGGACCCGCAAAACATGAATTCTGAATACACAACTTATAAGCAAGGCATTTTCTATGTATAGGGAAAATATTTGCCCACTTTTTCGGTACCAAAGACCGGCAATGAGAATGTTTCTGTCGAAAATTCGCCGATTTCCGTTGCACGATATTGTAATCGTTTTTCTTCTTACGAAGTGCGAGAAAGCAAACAAAAGAAAGAAGGAGTAGTAAAATACACAGCAGTACCATTATCCCTCAACATCAAACAGAACGTTTCGAAGATTGTTGCCCCCATCATTAGGCAGACACTTGAGAGCTCAGAAAAACAGATGGTTTATGTAAAAACCTTCCGTTTTGTGAGTTCTCGTGACTGTTGCACGATTATGAAATAAATTAATGTTACAAGAATTCGTGTGTCAAAAAATATGGACCCTTCACAAAATCATAATTAATCAAGACACACTAAAAGGTGGAAATAAGAAAACCTATCTTATGAAATGAGACATATTTGGAAATTAAATGCTTCAAAAACGTATCGACTGGTGACATCGGCGAAAGGTCTTGTCAGGAAAAGCTTCCTAAAAAACCTAACAGAACTGCAACTATCAAAACGTTCTGAACATGGGCCAGCGCGCAATTCTAATGCAAATACCCACTAAACAAACTAAGAAAACGTAAGTCTAAAGACTAGATATATGAACTTTTTCTGCGACCGAACCTATTCCCAAAACCACTCTGAGGAAGAACAGCACGTTTACCAGTGAAATTAGGGGAGAAATAATTATATATAATAATAATAATAATATAATAATAATAATAATAATAATAATAATAATAAATAATGCGATAATAGCCGATTCGATTTCCGAGATCGCTAAGGCAGAATTACAGTAGCGGTCTCGGACCAAAAGATCGCAAGTTCGAGTCCCTCTTCGGGCATCGTTGTGTGTGTCTCTGTATGTTTTTGTGTGTCTATATCATCATCACATTATTATTTTCATTCCATCCCCCAGTGCTAACAACCCTGAGGTATGAAAAAGGAATCAGCATTGAATTTCTGACCCCCTCCCCTATAGAAAAGTAAAGTGCACCCACCCCGATTACCAAGACTGAGCTCCGGGGGATGCACGTAACTCGTGCATCCCACGATGGACGAGCTCATGATGGCCAATTCGCGAAAAAAACAACAACAACAAAAAGCGATAAAATACGCTCGCCGCGTATGCAAGAACACTACGCGAAGGCCCGTCTTTTATTCAGACGCGAGCCCTCAATTACAACCCACGAAAGAACTCTGCTACAGTATTTAACCATCCGCATATCAGCATACTATTATGATTGGCTATGTGTCAACGTGTGTAGAGAAGAAATAAATTTATTGCTGAATGGGAGGGATTTCGTCAGAGTTGTTCACGAGGTCTCAACCGCGTCCAACGCCGCGACGAACAGAGTGCAAGAGCCATCATTTGAAAAGCGACAACTGGGCTTAGGACCCGCCACGGTCGCCCATTCTCCGTTGCACGGCACGTGAAATCCGCAATATGCTGTCGAGTGCTTGTCGTTTTATGTGCTTTGTTACAGTCCGAGGCCACATGTAACCGGTCGGGGCAGGAGCAAAGCTGCTGCCATTGTAGGCGCGAGCCCCCTCGCGACCCTCGTGGCCGTGCCGGGGCGCGCCTGATTTCATTAGCCCCCCCCCCTCT